GGGGGGGGGCGAAAAAAAAATGTCTGCCCCGGGCGCCCATAACTCTAGTTACGCCACTGGTGTGTTGTATTGCTATTCATTTGAATGGCACCCCAAACTCACCTCCCAACCACAGTTCAATCGCCCGCATCGGAACGCAATATCGTGTGTTCCAGTGTGGTGGGACTTGGGTCATGACTTAATGACCAAGGACAAATGTGGGTCCTGAGGTTACGCAGGTTGAGAACCACTGATTCAAAGCATTTAACAAATGTGTCACACCTTTTCTGGGTATGCAATAAGCATGAGCTTGTTATTGGATGGGTCTTTCTTGAATTTCTGTAGAAAACCGCTCTCAGAGAGCATGTCTTTAACTTCTTTTTCACATATTTTGAAACCAAATTCTGTTACAAGAATCACTGCATCGACCTGTTGAATAAAATGCTACAGGTTAGGAAAGCATGTGATATAACAGCAGACAACAATAAAGTTTTGAATAGAAACATGTAAACAGTATACTGAATACAAATATATTTATCTAAATATGTTTTTGTCCAGGTGTTATTCTAAATTGATTCCCTCCCTGTTTTGTAAGTGTTGTATGATGGTACCCAATGTTATGCTGGCACCATAGCTTATCATGTTTATGTGGCTAATTTAGGATTGGTATTTGGATATATGACATTTGTGATATTTCTACTTGGCAATCGCAAAAGCCCCCATCACGAAACATGGTGCGGTAGTGCGGTAGTGCAGAAATGTTTCAGCTTTAGTTAAAGCCATTAAGTATTTTTTTAAATGCTGGCCATGATTAGGATTAGGGCTGGGTCTAGGGTTAAGGTTATACTATCCCCTAAGGTATTTAGGGGATAGTTAAGGTATTTCTATCCCCTTTTAAAACGAATTACAGAAGACTTACCTGGATAACAGTGACATGCCGTGCCTTCTGTGCTGGGTGAGGCATCCCCCAGCCTGCCGAAGCTCCGCCCCGTCCCACCAAAGCCCCACCCTCCCCACTAAAGCTCCACCCCGTCCCACCGAAGCCCCACCCCCAGCTCGGTAATCAAGTTGTGTGGGGAGGAGGAAGGGAGGGGACAGGGAGGAGCCTTTCTGTCCCTCACTTGCTCGTCATTGGTGAGTCACTGCTGAGGCATCGAGATCAATGGCCTCAGTGGGTTTTTCTTTTTTTTTTTTTTTTGATTGAACAGGCAGAGCTCTGTCCATGACAGGTTACACAGCGGGAGGCTTTCCCTTCTGTGTAAACTTTAACAAGCCGCGCTGAATGGAGACAAAGCTGTCAGCTTTTTTCTTCATAATATTAGGTGAGGCTCTGCCTCACCTGCCTCCCCTGACTGCACGTCCCTGCTGGATAAGGATGTTACTGATCATCATTAGCTATCTGTTTATGAGACATCAACCTACCTCACTTAAAGCATTTCTGATAGAAAACATAGCAATTGGGTCAGAATCATCTGTTCCAGGCATTTCTAGTATTTCTTTGCCCCCATACAGTATTTTGCTTGGTAAATAAACCACAATTTCTTTCACAGCAGCAATCTTCCTTTGTGTCGCTTTAGCCTTATCTGTATCCTCTTCCTGAGCAGTTGTCAGTTCTTTCAGAATATCCTGAAATGATTAAAAAAATACATTACATACAGTATATATATTCAAGCAGTTAGTGCAGAAACATGTTAACTAACTATTTTTGACTGATTTGCTAAATAAGCCCTTTTAGAAGCATCAATAGCTGAAGCTCCAATTTAATGAAAAGTGCTCATGTACATGGCCATATGCAAATATGGCAGCTGGTAGGATCATGTTAGCAGATCCATCAAGATCCAGTATGAAAAGTGCTCTATACACATTACATATGTCACCTTTGTGCAATGTTTATATGTGCACAGTGCAATGGTGCCCTTTGTTACTAGGATGCAGGAGGTTCCAATAGAGTGCATTTGCGCTGTACACATTAAAATTTTAGCACAAATGTGGTCCATATGTAGGACTTTTTAAGCTGTGTGCATGGGCCTCAAAGAAAACAATACACCTGTGTTTAAATCTGTAATTAATAGTAAAATAAAAAAGCTGTACTGATTAACACACTCTGTTTGGAGTCTCAATCAGAGAGAAAGAGAATAACAGCAAACGGCTTCTTCTGTGCTCATTCTTTAGAAAATCTATTATGCTCTGCGACTTCTGTTTCATGGGTGTATAAAAACTTCTTTTGTAAAATACAGATTTTGTATTCCTAGTAAAAAAAAAAAGATATACAACCACAATATAAACATTTAGGCATTTTATAATAAAATAGACACCAAACCATTCTAGTCTCTGTTTTCTACAGATCATAACATAATAGCTTTTTATATCTCTAAATATATTCTATTAACATTTGTAACTCTTTTAGAAGTTGGCTGCTAATATGCAAATTAAGTACTTGAGTTACTAACAAGTGACATATTCTGGTGCTACTATCTTGTTAGGTTGGAAAAAGAATGGTCCAACCCAAAGAAAAAAGCAAACAAAAAAAAACTTACAAAGATGTGCATTCTCAGAATCTTATGTTTGCAGTTGAACCAAGAAGAAGGAAAAAAACCTAAACAGCATGGCTCAATTTACTCTAACAAAAAATATTTCCTGCGGTTGCTTGCTTCCGCAGTTTTCTCTGGCTGTCACTTGCAGCATGCTTGGATCATCATTCTAAATGGCTTCTAAAAATTGCTAGGAGCAAAAAAAAAAAACCTTGACCAACAATCCTGGTAGTTGGCTTATTCAGGACACGCAAATTAGTTACATCATCAGTGATCAAATGGCCATAGAGAATCATTTCGGGGGGAAAAGCAGTGACGGTGGACGGAGCGACGATCACAGCCCTGACCTGTCCCCATTGGAAGAGGGCACGCCGACAGGTAAGTGTTCCATAATGTGTTGCAAAAGCTCACACACAGAAATCTAGTTCTGCTTTAAAGCAAGACAACTAGCAGTTTTTGGAGACTAGTAGCGGCAGCCTACTTATTTCACCATGAAAGGTGTACTTTAGAATCTTACCTGCAAAGCAAGGCGATCATAAGTAGAATTTTTGCCTTTGCCAATATATAATTCTGTCTTCCCAGCGAACTTCAAAACCTCCTCAGAAAGATTTATATCTTCATAACAGAGGACACGTTCCTACAAATGTGCCAAGCAAGTATTATTTGCATTTTTTGTGTAATAATGTTTAAAACAGAAGTGAATGCAGATATAAAAATACAACTATTTAACTAAGTTAAATATTCAATAAAAAAAATCATAAAATGTATGTAAACCCAAAAACCTCCTAAACACACTTGGAGGAATTGATCAAAACTGGAGCAGGCAGAATCTGGAAGAGTTGCCTATAGTAACCAATGAGCTAATCTCTTCAGATTGTTCAGTTAGGCTTTGAAAATGAGAGAGAGATGCTGATTGGTTGCCATGGGCACAAGCACAAGGCCAAGTTGACCCTCCAGTGGTTACAGCAGAAAAAGTGAAGCTTCTGGAGTGGCCATCACAGTCTCCTGACTTTAATATCATCAAGCCACTCTGGGGAGATCTCAAACGTGCAGGTTTTTTTGCATGACCTAGAAGCAATTTGCCAATTTTGCAATATACCACCTGCAGGAATTCGGGGCCTCATAGACAACTACTACAAAAGACTGCACACTGTAATTGATCATTTCATTTTATTATTTGTTGACATGTTTTGTTTTATGATTGTGCCATTTTGTTATGACCTACAGTTCAATATGAATCCCATAAAAATAAATGTGTTTTCCCTGCTCATTTGTGTTTTCTTTAAAAATAGTACATATATTACCAATTCTCCAAGGGTATGCAAACTTTCGAGCACAACTGTGTATATGTGTTGTGGTATTGTGTGGCAATCCCACAGTGGAACTGGGGGTTGTAGTAGCCCAGGACTCTCAGCCAGAGAGACTGAGCAGTTCCAGGAAAAACATTATTTTGCTTGGAAAGAACTGGCTTTGCAGTTCCCTCCAGAAAACCTGGATTTGGTATGGGATCCTGGAACTGGGAGATTTCAAAGAGAACTGGTAGGGATGAAATCTCCATTCCTGGGTCCATGCTTTAGTGGGGGCCAGAACCTAATGATTGCACACCTGTGCATAGCCCTTATGGAAAGGGTGCTACACAGACACATATATACATAAACTATATTACCAAGTATTGGGACACCCCTCCAAATCATTGGATCCAGGTGTTCCGTGAAATGTCCTTGCTACTAAATATTCCACGGTCAACTGTTAGTGGTATTATAACAAAGTGGAAGCAACTGGGAACAACAGCAACTCAGCCACGAAGTAGTAGGCCACGTAAAAATGACAGAGAGGGGTCAGCACATGCTGAAGCGCCCAGTGAGCAGAAGTCGCCAACTGTCGATAGCTACAGACCTCCAAACTTCCTGTGGCCTTCAGATTGGCACAACAGTGCATAGAGAGCTTCATGAAATGGGTTTCCATGGCCGAGGAGCCGCATCCAAGCCTTACATCACAAAGTGCAATGCAAAGCGTCGGATGTAGTGGTGTAAAGCGCGCCACCACTGGACACTGGAGAAGCAGAGACATGTTCTCTGGATTGACGAATCACGCTTCTCTGTCTGGCAATCCAATGGATGTGTCTGGGTTTGGTGGTTGCCAGGAGAAGGGTACTTACCTGACTGCAATGTGCCAAGTGTAAAGTTTGGTGGAGGGGGGATTATGGTGTGTGGTGTTTTTCTAGGGCTGGGGTTGGCTCCTTAGTTCTAGTGAAGGGAACTCTTAAGGCATCAGCACACCAAGACATTTTGGACAATTTAATGCTCCCAACTTTGTGGGAACAGTTTGTGGATGGCCCCTTCCTGTTCCAACATGACTGCGCACCAGTGCACAAAGCAAGGTCCATAAAGACATGGATGAGCGAGTTTGGGGTGGAGGAACTTGACTGGCCTGCACAGAGTCCTGACCTCAACCCGATAGAACATCTTTGGGATGAATTAGAGCGGAGACTGAGAGCCAGGCCTTCTCATCCAACATCAGTACATGACCTCACAAATGCGCTCCTAAACCTTGTGGACAGGCTTCCCAGAAGAGTTGAAGCTGTTATAGCTGCATAGGGTGGGCCAACTCAATATTGGACCCTACGGACTAAGACTGGGATGCCATTAACCTCCTTGGCGGTATTCCCGAGTGTGGCTCGGGGTTAATTTTCAGTACCATAAGCGGTAACCCCAAGCCACACTCCGGAATACAGCGCAGCGTCTCTTACCTTGTCCATGATCCCCTCTGTCTCCTCCGGCCGATGCCGGCATCCGTCTTCTGGGTTCCGTCCCTTACGAGTGTCCGCGTCGCAGGGGGGCGGAGCTGGCAGGAATTTTAAAAGTTTTTTTTTAAAACAAAATAAAGATAGAACAAAAAATGAAAAAAATAAATAATCAGACCGCCAGGGAGGTTAAAGTTCATATGCGTGTAAAGGCAGGCGTCCCAATACTTTTGGTAATATACTGTATATACATACACACACACAAAACACAAAGTGATACTTACATTAACCCATGTCCATGCAACAGCCAGTGGTCCGTTCCTGTGTTCTCTACTGTTGGAATGTGGTCTGAAACTCCTACCCATGAACACATTCCATCTTATTTACATGGCCACAGGTCCTGCATTGTTTTTGATCATATCAGCAAGATGAGTAATTTTGGGGGACTGGTCATCATAAAAGGAAAATCACAGGACTGTGGATTAGGACGAGTATTGGAAGGGCAAATGAAAAAGTCTTACCTTTTGAGTAAATTCATGACCAGTGAGAATTTCATATCTTGCTTTTAGGCACTCATCGGCTTTCTCTTTTACTTGATCGTTAACATATGAACAGTCTGATGGATGACAAATTAAAAATCAGAATATATACATTGCTTTTAAATTTGATTATCTGATATTGTAAATTCATATTCATTTTAATCTTTATGTATCATGTATTTGGAATAAATAATATGTTCAGTCAAAAATTAGTTATTAAACAACATTCCCAAAAGTCACTGTATGCATTCCATAACATGCATGCTTGGACCATACAGTTGTATATCTTACTGTAGTGATTTGACAGGTGTTCAATGTCTTACAGTCATTTGCTTTCTAAAGAAGTTGCAGCATGAATGGCTCCATGCCCCCTTAAAAAAAACAACTTTTTATTGTTTTGATGCACCTGGAATGTATTTATCTAATTTAAATAAAGTTTAATTGGGTTTAATTATGATTATTGACAGGCAGATAAAACAAGCAAGAAGATTCAACCGTACATGATCGTAATCCCTACAATTTCTTTCTTTTTTAAGTTTAAAGTTGTCTCTTTTAAAATGTAAATTAATTATTTGTATAAAAGACATAAGCAGTTATTTAATTATAGGGATTAGCCCTAAAATGAGTTGTTAACTTGGGAGCCTGTAAATTTGCAGGGTGGTATAGGGTGGTCCTGCCTTGATGGAAGTTTAGCTTGTTGTACGTATCACTCATTGGTAATGTTAACAGCACAGGGATGCAGACGGAGGTTGTTAGTCTGATAGATAAAGTCAAACCAGAAAACAGATTCCCACTACCAGGACATCAAAAAGGTTAAGTGCAAAACATACAATCATAACAAAAAATATACTGTAAATAGAATTTATTTAGAACCATAAATATTTACCACAATGTATACGATGTAATAGATAAAGTCAAAAGTGGAACAGTTTACACAGAAAAATAGGATTTTTGTCTTAACCTTTAAAATACTTAAAGGAGAACTATGAGGTGAGTGCTTTTCACTCACCTCATAGTTCTAGCTGACCTGTGACAATGAGACTGTCACGTCACTAGTCGGCTCAGTAGATCGGGAAGTGAACGAACACATACCGGCATTCGCTCACTTCTCGATCCTGTCACGGCTCTCTGCCGTGACAGGGGAGGCACTGGATTCCCCCCTCCCCGCTCCGATCCTCCAGCGCTGACTGGCGGAACGGACAGGAGAGGGGGCGGGTACAGCTGGCTCTGCCTCTGGATAGGCAGAGCCAGCTGTCACTCACGCAGCTGGACGGATCAAGACATAATTGTCAGGATCCGCTTCAGCTGCGGCGTCTCAGTATACCACGAGCTGTAGCTCAGGGTATACTCAGCTTAGGGTGATGGTAGGACACTAGTTTGTGTCCTCCCGTTACCCTAAGGAGAACTATGGGGAAAAGTCCTAACCCCATAGTTAACCCCATTATGCTGCTAGCTTGAGGTGTTTGGACACTGGCAAAGCAAATCAGTTAGGAGAGGCCTGCATAACCCCTTCTCACTCCCAGCATTCCTCAGTTTTGTAGCAAGTAATACAGACATGAATGTAAACACAGAGGGGAGGGGCCTGTTTTCTGTGATATACTCCAAGACATGGATTTTACAGGTTAAAAAAAATCCTGTTTTCTTAATTGTACATCACAGGACAGAAGCTTGGTAATTCTTAGACCACTGATACATCCAAAAGCAGTGCAACTGAGGGGTGGGCAACACAGGAAACAAATGGCTAACAGGTCCTCAACAAACAACCAGAATGAAAAACAGTAGAGGCCCTACCATTTATTGGGCCAATTGAAGAACCCTACAACCATAGCTGCCATCTGCTTGCAGTCTGAATGTTCACCTGGTAAAACTTAGCAAAAATGTGAACCAAGAACCAGGTGGCAGCCTTGAAGACCTGAGAAACCTAGGCCTGGTACTGAAAATCGCAGAAAGCACGGTCTAATCTAGTCAAATGTGCCCTGAATGTGCTCCTTGCCCCTAAAAGCCTAAGCCTGAGTTGTTGAATCCACCTAACTATAGGGCAACGTGAAACTGTCTGCCCCTACAGAGGCCTTCCAGAATGACAAAAAAGTCAGATTGACAAGGTGGAGCAGTAGCAGAGATGTACATATGCACCGCCCGCATTACATGCAAATAATGACAAGAAATCTCTTAGGAGAACATAATGATGGCAAGACAATGTCCTGGTTAAGGTAAAAGGAAGCAATCACCTTCACAAGAAGGAGGCATTAGGCCTCCTAAAAAATATAAAAAAGAAATAACGGGCACCTTTCCTGGTGCAAATTTGTTTAGAAAGATTTGTTTCTAAACAAAGAAAGATTAAAAGTGATAAATCGCACTCACAAAAAAGGTGAATAAAAAGCGTGTTGGACATAAATCTCGGGGTACATGCAGCTTCCTAGCAGTCAGAGAAAACAATCCAAATATGCTGCTAGACCAGCAGAAACAAGCTGACTCAGCTGAATGCGTTTTCGGGGAGTTTCCCCTTCCTCAGAGCTGGCCAGCTTTATGTCCAACAAAAAGCGTGTTGGACATAAATCTTAGGATACATGCAGATTCCTAGCAGTCAGAGAAAACAATCCAAATATGCTGCTAGACCAGCAGAAACAAGCTGACTCAGCTGAACACGTTTTCAGGGAGTTTCCCCAGCTGGCCAGCTCTGAGGAAGGAAAACTCCCCGAAAACGCGTTCAGCTGAGTCAGATAGGGGCGGGCCTATCTGACGTCACAGCTAATGCAGAAGTGAGCATGTGAGCTCGTGGGATACCGGCCGGTTTTTATGTACATGTGAATTTTTACTTTGTTTTATCAATAAACGTTTGGGATATACTTCACTATGAGGAGTTCCTTTTGATTTCTTTACTATATGTGAAACATCATTCGTTAAACATTTGGGAGGAAACACTAAGAACTTTCAGATCCAATACCGACTTCAGGTTACCTACAGAGTGTAAAGCGATATATATGCGGTGAGTGCGCATTGCCCGGGGGGCTTCGTGTGTAACCCTGGGAGGATCACCAAGCACAAGTACTTTATATGTTTTGGATTTGGAGGACGAATTATAAATTATATTGACATTTTCACATTTATCACTGAAGTTTTTTTTAACTGTTTATATATATAAAGTCACTATTATTCCCTGTGTTCATTCATATCTGGATGTTTATACATCCAGTCCTTGGTCACACTAATTACAATAATTTTTGTTTGTGGTACACTATATATATTTTTCACTATTAATTTGCACATTTTTTTAGGATATTTTGAAAGTTGTATAGATTTGTTATTAATATTAGTTACACCAGGGTATTTAGCGCCGCATAATCGTTATTTATACCAAGCAAAATATGCTTTTCAAGTGTGATCGTAGACTTTGTCAGAAGATGACTTCCTAACTTTCAAGAGCGTAGGGATGGATGACTGAAAAATTTCTGCCACCCAGGCTTCAACAGCCAGGCCATTAAAGCCAGCAATCAATGAGAATCGGTTCAGCTCGATAAGAATAATAAGAATGCATTCCATCTCGATCCTGTGGTGTAGTCGAGGAAGGAGCTTCAGGGGAGAGAAGGTGTAGATCAGGTTGAACTGATCCCACAGATTCACCTGAGGATCCCTGGATCAGGCAACAAATCTTTCCAGTTTGTGGTTGAATCTGGATGCAAGCAGATTCATGTGTGGTGCCCCACCTCCCGTGACAGAGAGGGCAAAACTCCTTTGTGTGGTGAGACCATTCCCTGAGAAACAGCTGTTGACAACTGATGATGCTTGCCTGTGAATTTTCTACATCTGAAATGTGAACAATGCAGAAGGCCAGAATGTGAAGTTCCACCCAGGTCAGGATCAGGACTGCTTCCTGGTGAGCTGCATGAATTCTGGTTCCCTTTTAATGATTGATATATGTCACTGCTGTGACATTGTCTGACTAACTCCTGGTCAGATGACCCCACACATGAGAGGTCTAGTGATGAAGGGACAACTAATTTACACTGAGCTACAGGATATTGATCGGGAACTGAACCTCCTCTAGCAATCAAGACTGCTGAACCGACAGAAAATACAGAATCCAGGACCCAAGAGGCTAGTATCATCATCTTCCAGGTCGTTGGTAAGAAATTATTTGCCCAATTCCAACACTATATTGGACATTCACCTCGCTAGCGCAACCCTGGTCTTGCTGGCCAGGCACATGGGGCGGATCCATAGATTGGGTCTTCCTGTCCCACCCTGTCCGAATTTTGAGCTGCAACGGTCTGAAGTGAAACTGGGCACACGAGACTGCCTCAAAGAAGGATAGTATGAGGTCCAAGACCCTCAAGAAGAATGGTGGGGGCAGCTCCTGGACCGAAGGGTCCGAATTAGGGAGTGGAGAGACTGGACTTTGGCCAAGGGAAGAAACACCCTGGTCAGGGCTGTATCCAAGACAAGGCCCAGGTTTGACAAGCAATAAGGCTCCTGGCC